TCAAGCTTAAAAATTGTGCGCACTCGCAAAAAACTAGCATACCCAAAATTGGCCATAGGCGACGCTTTAAAAGCTTTTACAGCTCATCAGTTTAGTATCATCAGTGATTGATGGCCCTAGAATTATTGCTCTCACTCAGACGTTCGCGGCGATATGTAACATGTGCGGCGTAATGGGCGCAATCGTCGTTTTTGCAGGTATGCACACATGACGCATGTTTACATGCGTGTATGTAGGGGTGGGAACTTCAAATTTATTTTGTATGTGCAACGTAAAAAATTTTTTTTTGGGGGGGGGAAACTAATTTTTTTTCCACTTAACTTTATTGCCATCACATAGGAGGCTAAGAAACCCCTATATATGATCGCAAAAGAAGTGACAGGTCCTCTTTATGGAGACATCAGGGGTCTCCAAGACCCCTGTCACCTAGGACCCCCCTGAAGAAGCTGATGAAGCAGAGATCTGCTTCATCAGCTTCTCTCCAGCATCTGAAGCTGGAGAGTGACACAAGAATGCGGAGGTGATTTGTAATATACACCGCATTATGACAGCGGAGAGGGGACCGGAGGGAGATCGTGAACCGACCTCCCTCTAATCCTGTCAGAGAGCCACTATGCTTGTCCCGGGCTCGCACCGGGGCACAGCAGAGCCCGGGATCCGCGTGACAGCGGGAGGGGGGGAGCCGCGGAGGGGGGGGGCGCACATACCGGGACTGCATACAAGTGATCTGCCGGCTCTACAGCCGGCGGATCGCTTGTATGTTAACAGGCATCGCCGCCAGTTTTTAAATTATGCGTCTTTCCCGCTCTGGCTCGCTTCGCACGAGTGGGCGGGACTAACAGGACATTTATACACGCCCAGTTACATCCAAGAAGCTCAACGGCCGGCCAGCCGGGAGGTAGTTAAATAGGTTTACAGTGGACCACTTTAGAAGAAATCTTTTGTGAGGAAAGGTACAGTACTCAATACAACATTTAAAGTGTATGTAAAAGGCAATTTTTTCTGCTTCTAAAGTGTTGCGAGTTCCAGCTTTTCTTGTTGGGGTTCCTTACGGTGCAGGTCCTCATGTATAGCTCTCTATCCAGCAAGGAGAAAATGGGCACAGAAAATGCACTGCTACTTTTCAGAAGGAATTCATTTTGGTCTGGATACTGTTTAGGCACAATTAACATAGCTAGATGTTCTCTATAAGATAGCTAGTTTTTGAGTCCACACCCACTTTAAGTGAAACTGAACTTACCTTACCAATTGTAAACAAACAGTAGATATGGCAGTCCAGTCACTTGCATTCCAGACTGGCTTTTGATAAAGGATAAAATGCTCCCGATGCCGGAACTTCCAGTATCATGAAGCAGGGCGGCCAGTCATTACGTGCTGCACGGGTTCCTAATTGGCCGGAAAGCCGGCTCCATGCTCCCTGGTAACCAGGGAGCATGGAGCTGGCTTTCCGGCCAATTAGGAAGCCGGGGGTGTGTAATGACGAGGAAGCTTGGAGACAGCTTCCCGGCCAATCGGGAAGCTGGGGGTTGAGTCACTTGGTGATCTCTCTTCTAGGGCTGCAGCTAACGATTATTTTCATAATCGATTAGTTGGTCGATTATTAAGTTCGATTAATCGGTTAATCGGATATAAAAAAAAAAGGCTCCAGTGATTGACGACTAGTTTGTGTTAAGATTGTAGTCCATCACGGGAGCAAGCTTGGCGCGGTGGAAGTAAAAAAAAAGTGTGGTGTGCAATATAGTACATTATACAGCGGCGCAGTGCAGAATACCAGCAGCTATAGAGGAATGTAGCAATAGTACATTATACTATAATGTACTATTGCTGGGATTTGTAGTTCTCTGTAGCTGGCGTTATTCTGCATTGCGCTGTATATAATGTATTATTGCTGGGATTTGTAGTCCTCTATAGTTGGTGGTATTCTCCATTGCGCTGCTTCCGGCTTCCTAATGATTTATACTGCGCAATGCAGATTACCACTGACCATTTATAGAGGAACAAATCCCAGCAAAAATACATTATACAGCGCAATGGAGAATACCACCAGCTATAGAGGAACAACAAGTCCCAGCAATAATACATTATACCGGGTGTTTAATATATTATTGCTGGGATTTGTTGTTCCTCTAAGGCCTGTGCCGTGGGCACGGCGGCCGCAGCGTGTGACGTGTGGCTCAGGCCGCATGTGGAGCCCGGAACAGCCCCGAACAGGCAAATCAATCGATAGCCGACGAATCGACGATCGAAAACGTTGTCAACGTTTTCAATCGTTGATTTTAATCGACTAAATCGATTAACTGTTGCAGCTCTACTCTCTTCTACACAAATCTGTTGTGCACGGCACCATCCGGGATATCACTGCGAGCACCACTACTGAATCTATGGTTGTGAATGCTGTAAGGAGTGCTGTAAGGAGTGCTGGGGACACATCTGTTCATATACCCAATTATTAAGACACCTCCATACTCAAGCATGCCTATATATTGCAAATGTCTGTTTTAAAAGAGCTGTGGTAATAAAATAACTATGGCAAACCAAAACACAACACTAGAACATAGCAAACTGATGCAGGAATAATGCCAAAAAAACAAAGCCTTGCAATGGACACTGGTATAGAAAGCCAAGTAGACGCTGACATTTGGAAATTAATACAGAGAGTTTGTACACGACCAGTCAGTACACACATCTAGTTTAGCATTACTTTGCTGGCCCCTCCCCTACATACAGGCTGAAAAAACACAACCATTGCCCAGATCTCTGCTCAAAATAATCCCACTATGATGTGCATAGGCAAATGTATCCCTTAGAGCTGTCACGTAAAATATTTTTGCTATGAAATCTATAACAGTCCCAGATATTGAGGCTGATTTACAAAAGTAGTTGGCAATGTTCACTTAAACTCTGAAGATTCGCTTCATGTTAACAGTAAATTCCTGTTAGGAATTTGGGTTTCACATAATTGAAGTAAATGTTCACACAATTTATTGAGTGAAGATTCCCAACTTCTTCAGTAAATCAGCTTCACCTTTCACATATTCTATGTGGGAAAAAAAAAGTTTGGCCTGGAGATCTACTGAAGTATTTATTCTGACAGACAATACAAGTGTCAAAACACAAACATGGACCAAATGGACACATGGACCAAATGGACATATGTTAAAAATCAGTGACCAATAGAGGGGAGTAAGGACCCATGTGTTGATACCATGTATTTGGTGGGATAACCCTTGGCGTTTGTCTACAATTATCTTCTTTGAGCATGTAATTACTTCTGTTCTTGAAATTTGAAAAATAAAATAAAGATGAGTGACCAATATGCATTTCTATTCGTTGCTTGCCTTAAATCCATCCAATTGATTTGATTATGAAGCTACAAATATCACATGGACTAAGCACAGAATCACTGCTTGTGTACGAGATATGGCACCATGATCACTGAAAAGTTACAGCTGCCGTGCTTACAGCTGCTGTGCTCTCAGGCTAAAAGGCACAAGAAAAGTGGTTTTGCTTAAGTTAAATACTTTATGCAGGGAAAAAAAATGCAGATAAATCTACAAAACGAGAGCATCCTTTTTAGGTATCGTCCTACAAAATTGGAAAATTTGGTAACAAAAAAAAAAAAGAAGGAGGATTTAGTAGGGTGTTTATTTTTAGAAGTGAAAGAAATGGGGGATTCACAAGAACGGGGAAACCACAGTGATCCAGACCTCAGAAATTCAAAATATTCATATACACTGAGTGGCCAGATTATTATGACCACCCCATCAGTACTTCGTTGGGCCACGAGATGACTCCACGAGATGGCTTTGTTGGGCCGCCTTGTGACTCCACGAGATGCTGAAAGGTAATGCGAGGAATCTGACACTGCACTGTTGCCCTTCTGTTGTCTTGTACCAGTCTTGCCACTCTCTGTTCTGCCCTAACATTGACTAGTTGCTGACGGCCACAATTCGCACAGTCAGACCCAGATTTGCGGCAGTCTTTAAACACTTTAATAATGAACCCCTCTTGAACATTTAACGAATTCTGCTGTTTTGCTGATACTCGCTCCATGGCTCAGAGCGCCAACAATCATCCCACGTTCAAAGGCTGTTACATCGCGTTGTTTACCCATATCTTCAGAAAAAAAATCACTTCTACTGTCGTGGTAAACAACCTGCTTCCCTATTTATAATGGTCTGGCCCTCTAGCAAGTTCAGCGCAAAATTATAGCTAATTTGCCTACAAAGGTGGTCATAATAAGCTGGCCACTCAGTGTATATTCCCAAGGAGTGTGGAAAAACTTTACATTTTTTTCCAAATACCTGTTGGTGTCACTATGGTGATCACTACCACCTGAGGATTATTTTCAAGATGATCCACATCTTGTTTGAGCCAATTTTTGTGTTCTATATGCTGGTTTTCATATGAATGAACCATTTTTTCACTTTCTTGCATAGATATTGCATTGATCATCTATGTAGGATACGCGGAGTAGCTTTTTAGATCATGTGAAATGTGAGCCTGTTTTTAAATATGCTATGTTAATACGTTTTGCTATTTTTATAGATATCAGTTTGTATGTGATGTTTTCCCAGGGAGTGTATCCCTTTGGAGGATATTTCTTCTTTATTGCATATTCTGGGTTCCACACTCCTTGGGAACATATATGAATATTTTGAATTTCTGAGGATTGGATCACTTTCGGGTTTATTTTTAGCACTTAAAATCTAGTCCTAGAGAATTGGCTACAAAATCAAGTGAATGTGTATCATCTATCCCTCACACCATAATACAAACCTTGCTCACCTGTCTGATATTTTTCTTGTTCATCTGTCATTTACTATGCTGCCTTTTATTTGAAAACGGCTACTGAACAGAAATGCTTAGTGTTTAAAGATATATATATGTATATAATATGTATAAAATATGGCACACCATATCAAATGAAATATTTAAGTTTTCATCAAGAAAAAACATGGAATCCTACAGACCAATCACAGACAACCACATCCACTTACTCTGTATACTTCTTCCAAAAGAAGCTTAGCGCAGTTCTTCCCCAGATCTTCAGGTAGCACCACAGAACCCTGCCCCTGAGGGTTTGATGCAAGTTCAGCACTTAGGAAATATCCTTCCGTTGTTTCTGCCACCAGAGATAAACCAAAGCCAGGCGACCTGGAAACAAAAGAAGATTGTAACAAATATCTTCAGACAACTATATTATAAGCTATGCCATAGCTTAGAAATGAGGACATAGCACAAGCATTACAGCCATGAAATACACAGCACAGCTCTATAACCCAAATGCAATAAAGTATGGGCATACTGAAAATCCCTCACTGTTTTGGGAGATAGTGTAAAATTACCCGTTGTGCTGTATTTTCCTTATTGCAGCATCAATGTGTTAACTCAAAGCAACATACCAGGTTTATAACACAAAGTATACTTTGATGCCTAAAACAGATAAATAATATAGTTCGTAATACTTTTAGATTGTAAGCGCTCACGGGCAGGGCCCTCCTAACCATTTTGTATTGTAATAGTAATGTCCTCATATTGTAAAGCACTGCTCAAACTGAGAGTGCTATATAAATGCTGAATCATAAAAACATATTAAAACATAATAATAATAAAAAACAATACTTACTTTCCAGAATTTGTCCCTTTAAGATGATCTGTGTGTATATAAATATCTGGAAGAAACTTATTCAGAACACTTCTTGCTGATTCCACAATTCGGTTGCCAATTTGTGGAGAGACTCGAACTGAATATCTGTCAGTCAAGGGTCAAGGTTAAGAATCCACTGCAACAGAGGAAAAAAAAATACCCACTGCAAACCATGGCTTACTTACCACCATGCAAAACTAAAATACATAGGTCTGTAAAAAACACAGCTGTTCACATCACAGCCAAACAATACTTTGGAACTGAGATTTCCATCTCCACCCAAGAGGGAGTTACATTGTAGCAGTTACCGTACTTGCAGTAGCACAGAAAGCTTCATCATTCCCTCACTTGCTTGATAACTATGTTTATTACCCTTCTGAAAGCTTCTGATTTAAATGTTTTGTTGCACTTCACAAAGTTGGACATTCTGATAAAGTGCATATAAACCCAAGCACAAAATGTTACATAATGCAGCTTACCAGAGCCAAGATGTGGCGGGTGCATTAGCTTTCACCTTTTATCCTCACTGGTGATGCTGCCAATAACACACTTTCTGTACTAGTTGACAACATTCAAACATCATGCAGTACTTGAGGAGAAATGTTTGTCACTCTAAGACAGAGAAGTGTGTTGGAACTACAGAAAGAATACCCTGTGCATAACATGTGGGAGGAGTCCCATAGTCCACAGAGAACTGGGAAGGCTGATAACTGTGGCAATAGAAGTTCACTGAACAGAAAGTTAGAAAGGACACTTAATTTCTGCAAGGATCAACATTTACTATTTCTGTGTTTACCCATCTAAGTACTGATAAGCTGCAATATACATTGTTTTCTCTGTACCCCATTTCCTGACAATATAGTTTAGGAATGCGTTGAACTCTGAAAAAGTTGCTGGATTGAAAAAAAAGGATACGCTACTCCTCGGATGCGCTTTATTTTGCCAGGATCTGTCAAAAGAACCGGTCTCAGAACCTTCCTAACTGGACAGGAAAAAATTACCTCCCCTCCTCCTCCCGGAGGCATTCCTCTTTTCAAAATCTAGAAAGACAACAAAATAGGTCAGTTTTCCACACAGCAGAGTTTAGAAGATATCCATCCTCCTAGGAAACTAGCAGAAAACCGAGGCATGCTGGTAGTAGTAGGAGGAAGTTATGCTAGGCTGGCCTACAGTTTGTTAGCCAGTGTCCGATCTCCTGGCAGCAGCATAGCCTAAAGGTGAAAGGCCTCAAATGGACAAAAAAACAAAAAAAAACCACAACAACTTATATACAAGCATAATGCCAGTCTTAGTACAAGAATAAGCCCCAGCATATTTTCCCAAATATGACAGAAGCTTGGTCATGTTAAGCTGCAGAGGGTTGCCAAAATACCAATACCAGCAAGGCATCTTACTCCATATATAACAGCTCTGCACACTTGATATATACTTTTGTGCAAAATAAGAAGCCCAAATAACCTGCCCAGTGTATAGCAGGCACCTTGCAATGCTTTAGGGTTCATTCAGACAAACCCTATTTCACAACGTAAAATGCAGGATCTTGCTGGCATTCACTTGCAGCAAGATACATAGTGTAGACAGCCAAAAACGCAGTATTATCTGCCACTGGTCAACAAGTACATATCAACAAAGTGTCAGCACTCAGGGCTGGTTCACACGATTTTCTGGTCCAGATCTGGAGACGCGGTGCTATGCATGCAGTGCGTTTTTGATGTGTTCCAGTTTTTTTTGGTTGGAGTGGGGCTGTCAGTATGTTCCTGCATTTCCGGACAAAATGTGACATGCAGTCTTTTTTCTGTCCGGACTGGAACGGACTGGTGAGAACTGTAGCCCATAAAACACATAGGGATACATTGGGATGGATTTTGGGTGCATGAGCGCACTGATCTGATCTGGACAGAGTCCGGACGTCGTGTGAACAAGCCCTTACAGGCTATTAATAAAACCCTTGGTTGTTAGGGTGCAGGCCGCTACTGCTGCCTAGTATCCTTGGCTGCTAGGACGTAGGAGGTTCTAGCTGACTACACATTGTTGATATTTACATGTTGACCAGCAGCAGGCAAATGGCTGCAATAAACTGTGCACTTGTTAACATTACAAAAAACACAAATACATGAATACAGGCGATGAATACAAGCGTTTAAGTGTATGCGCAGCCAAACTTCTTTTGTTAGAGTGAAAAAGGAAAGGACTAAAGAGTGAAAAAGGAAAGGACTATATTTCTTTTACTACTATACAGGGGTCTGTAAAAAGAGATATTCCCTCACTAACTGTCCTATTGACAAAGAGACAAAGACTTCTGATGGCCCTATGCCTTTATTCTACATTACATGCACACCAAGCCAGGTAAAACCTTACCTTGAGTTCAAAATGTTCACCATCTATGCCAAACTTTTTCAGCAAAGGAATAGCTGTAGCTTTAAGAGTATCCACCTTTAAAAGAAAAGAAACAAAAATCAACGGTCTCTTGCACACGTTGTATCAGAATGAAAGGCTGGCACAATATTTCTATTCATTCTTAGCTTGTGCCAAAAAAATGTATTTAGTGTTTCTCAAGTTCTGCTACTCAGAACACCAATACCAGATAACTCACCGCTCTGATGGATTCTTACAGATGAGTGAATTAAATTTTGTAAACAAGATGCTTCTTTTAATATAGATGAAAATAGAAATAACTAAATATATGAAGAGACTATAGCTCCATCTGCTGGCTGAATACTGCTTACCATAAGTGTACAATATTTGTTTTTACGTGACTAAAAAAAAGAAAGAAAAATATGTTCTTGTTATATTTTTTTAGCCCTGACAATGATACATAAAGATATGTAGTAAACCACTAAATATTCCCTCTGAATAACTTACAAGAAAAACTTGGACCAAAATAAATGGACACAACAGGGGCTTATTTTAAATACACAATCTAGGGAAAGCCTTCCCACAAAACCATAACTCAATTCCTTGTTTTAGGTTACTAGAGAAAAGGTAAAATCAGGCTGGTGACAATGGCCTAGTAGTATGGTAAACAAATTTGTTTTCTCCTATATAGGACTCATTAAATGTATCTATCTACCCATCTATATCATCTGTGAAAACAAATTTATAATAGTGTGCCCATGCTTCTATTTGCCATCCTCCAATGGTCAAGGGTATCAGCACATCCCCACCATGTCATAGGAAAGCCACCATGTAGCTTGGGTTGTCAGTCAATATTATGCCACAGAGGAGAGAGGATACACAAAAAGAAAGGACATCAATTCCCAGATTGTAAGCTAGCTTGATTCATGCCATAAAATATTTTCCACTGTGGGGTTAAAATCTTACCGAAGGATCGACCTGATCATTAGTGACCCCGCGAAGTGTCACTTTTAACGGATGTTTCATAAAAGGAGCTAGGCAGATGAGACTTTCCAAATAGTAGCCGATTGAACGTTGGATGTTGCACTCATGCTCTAAAGCTCCACCAAAGAGGAGACCAGGTTGATAGTACAATGATGTGCCTAAATGAAAGACGGTCGGAAAATGATTACAAACTAGGGCCATTCACTAGTATGGTCTTGTCATATCGTGATAACATCATAGATATGTCTAATCTTTGTGTGCAAACTCAGTTTTTGGTCACCCTTTATTTACAGACACATACAGCAAAGTAACAAATGTTCAAAGAGATCATCATACAAAGCACATCAAAATGGATTAGGCATGCAACTAAAACAGAGACATGCCTCAATTTATTTAGGCTTGGGTTAGATATACACTAGTGCTGGAAGTAGGTTAACGATAGAGGAGGGGGGGGG